ACATGTGTGGACAACCTGGCATCCACATAAGTGGACAACCTGGCATCTACATGTGTGGACAACCTGGCATTCACATGTGTGGACAACCTGGCATCCACATATGTGGACAACCTGGCATCCACATAAGTGGACAACCTGGCATCCACATGTGTGGACAACCTGGCATTCACATGTGTGGACAACCTGGCATCCACATGTGTGGACAACCTGGCATCCACATACGTGGACAACCTGGCATCCACATGTGTGGACAACCTGGCATTCACATGTGTGGACAACCTGGCATCCATATACGCAAGAGTCCGGGTCTTAGGAGGTTAAGAAATGCGTATCGCCCACCACCTTTTATGCCAGAGTTTTAGACTAAGGTCATCGTATGTACAGAAATGTTAAGAGTTGTAGCTGTTTTGGTCAAAATTTGAAAATACTATCATGCACTACCTCATGCAATACAGGCAGATGACAAGCTCAGTATGTGATCTGTGTGACTCTCAGCTACTACCACATGACATTTTAGCTCAATTTCATTAAAACTGACTGAATTAAGAGACATTTTTGTGTCGACTAATGTTGATTAGCTGTGGGTGTCATCTTGAATTGAACTGTCTCCAAAAGTTCATCAGTAGCAAATTTATATTCAGTGATTATTTATTGGAGGGGTGGCACGGTGGCACAGTTGGTAGAGCTGTTGCCTCTCAGCGAGAAGGTCGGTGGATTGAATCCTGGCCAGGGACCTTTCTGGGTGGAGTTTGCATGTTCTCTCTGTGCATGTGTGGGTTTTTTCAGGTACTCCAGTCTCCTCACACAGATCAAAAAATTTTTTGCAGGGTGGGGGGCGGGTGGGGTAAGCAAAATTTAAACTAAAACATTTCAAACATGTACCGAAACGCTACGGTAACTAGAAAAAGACGATTGGGATTTTTAAGCCAAAACACAGCCACAGAGAAGATGGATGCAGTTAGAGAGGACATGGAGGTCGATGGAGTGAGGACAGAGGATGCAGAGGACGGAGTGAGGTGGAGGAGGATGACTCGCTGAAGAGGGAAAAGAAGAAGCAAAAACACTACTGATCATCACTGCGGTTTATTTTGAAAGGATTGTAAAGTGGGAACCATGGTCACGGGTGAGCTCAGCTTTATTGGCAGAACATGACACATTTATAGGTGCAAAATATTAAAAGAAAATTGGAATAATTAAGACCAATTTATCTTTGAGTTGCTTAAAATGCCCATCCCTATTATAAATCAGATAACTTCTAAACCTAAATAAAGAGAAATCAATGTATAAGATTAGATGTATTTTCTCTAAATATAAACCTTTGTATATGACCTTTTTAATAGACTGGGTGAAAATCAGTGCAAGTTTAAACCTGAGTTTGGAGATGAAGACTTTTACACATCTACTTTGTGGAAAGCCTGACAGCAACACTTCAGAGAAGCTGACTCAACAGCGCACCCACACCAAAGGTTACACAATCACGTTCACTCTTCATATGCAACCTCTAAGCCAGCTCTGACATCCTCACCTTTACCCAGACGCAATTACTCTCTATCCTTAAAAATACAGGCCAGACAGGAGAGTTAACAGACTTCATTGTGACATCAAAGCTTTTTATACCGATAGTGCCGACGGCAACAAATGCCCTTGAGGGTAATAGGTGGAGTTTCTCATGTCACAGGCTAACAGGGACAACCTCGTTCCTGCAGTGTCAGGGTTCAGGGCAACAACAAAAAGTTTTATGAGTATCAGTGGGGGAAAAGGACTTTTCCTGTCGTAACAGAGAAAAGCAAAGAACTCACCATGCCAGGATTGGTGACAATCATGCCCTTGCACTCCTCGGCGTACTTCTGCCAGTCCAGCTGTTCCCACTGTAACATGTCTGCGATCTCCTCCTCGGGGACCAGAGGCTTGTTGCTACGCAGCAGGTACAGCAGCACCTGATGCATTGACAGCACCTCCTTCCCACCATCTAAGTTAATCCATTCATACAGAAACAAAAAAAAAAACAACAACACACAAATGAGTCGTGTTTATTAACCTAGTTCCTTCTATCATTTTTAATCTGTTTGGAATAATCAGCCTGAAATCGCAAATAGAGACAAAGACGATGCCTTTTTTTCTCCACTCATACAGACACCTGGACAACTCTGGTTTTAAATCGGTCTGTAAAACTGTAAAAAGGTCCATATTTAATATTATCATTTATTGACAGGCACAATGGTTCTCAAACTGTGGAGAGGAGGCGCAGTGTCATTGCTGGTGAGGAGCATGGCCATTTATATTTTTATTTTGTTTTAATTTTCCGACCCAAAAGATTGCTAGCGTAACTATTGACATTGTTGCCAGTTGGACTTGTTTTTATGATGGATAATAAAGTACGAACTGCACGCCGGCAGGACCAGGATAGGAATGATGAAAGAGATGCAGCTTTCTCATGGAGGAAAAGTTTATCAGTGAAAGACTGTTTCAGTATAATCAGGGACAAACAGTCGAGAGATAACGATTGGAGTAAAAAAATACTAACACAGCTAGATTGATCTTAGTGGGACATTCACAGTTTGGACCAGATGATATTCCTGTTGTTCTAAATCTGTTAACTCAGAAATGTACATCGCATGTAAATGTGGACAGAAAGGGGAAATAAAGCTGCTTCAAAATGAATGAGCAACAGAAAATATTTCTCTTTTAATCACAGTAAAAGGTAAAAATAATAATTAATGTATTGAACATGTTTGAAGAAGAATTCTGATAGATGACAGTAAACACTACACTCCAGTGTAAGCCAGAGGTTTTTTTATAAATAAAATGTAATTGTTACAAAATATAAAAATATTTAAGCACTTCCTGCTTGTTCTTGATGAGGACGGACACTTTTCCCTCCTGCTCCCTCCTGCTCCTGCCTCCCTCCTGCTGTGCTCTTTGTCTTGTGATTCCTATCGGAGCCTCTCTCTACATTTCCTCCGAATTGTAAATTATGGATCTGGTCAACTGGTCTCTCAACGCAATTGACAACATTTTCTTGACAAGAAGACAAGACGAAGGATGTCCTGAAGAGACACTCGCAGATGGATACACCATGGACTCCTGGGGGTAGTGGAAGATGGTGTGCCTGTCTGTATTGTCCATTGAGGACGTAGAAGACGCGTACATAATTGGATTTATGATAACCGGATTTCTGCTTTTTGGTGTTGGCGGTTATCTGGCATATAGACAAATTTGACAGACGGCAGCAGTGGTTCTGGCATTTGTCAGGCTGCCTGTCTTATGTGAAGAAATGTACCGAGCAGTAAGCTCTCAGACGCTGCATGAGCTGAACCGTAAGCTGGACGCGGTTTCTGAGAATCGCAGGCCACTTGGAGAAGGCTACAAGCTCGGTCCGGCTGTGTGACCACAAAATTTGGCTGTTTGGAATCGCCAGCGAGCCGTAGCAGCAGAACTATGAAGGCAGACGTGGAAATTCAAGCAGAGGCTGCCTGACCCAAAATAATTGTGCTACCTGAATGTGGCTTCCCCACTCAGCCTTCAATTGGCCAGCTACAGTATCTCAAACTTTACAGGTTGTTTATGTTAACGAGAAGCCCCCCCACAATCGCTCCCCTCCCAAGGACATCTGTGGCTGTGTGTCAGAGTTGAGCCGGCTGATAGACACTGCGTCATCTTTATCAGGACTACGGCACTTTCTGCCAGTCTCTACAGACAAGTCACTGCCCTCGTCGGCCTCCTCGTGCATAAATGTATTATGATGTCATCAGTATGTTGCCGTTTCATGTGCAGAGGTCTTTTTTTTTGCAACTTTCCCATTGTGTCCTAGCCAGGACAAAGTGTGAGATATGATTTTTTTTAACTCCCCTCGTGTTTTCTCTCTTCCTTATTTACTTCCGTCTGTCTGTAACAGGTCTCTCTTGTAAATGAGTCCTCGAGGCTCAATGGGCTCTAACTGTATAAATAAAGGTTGAATTAATGAATTAATTATCCAGAAACAACATCAGTGAAGAATAAAACCACAATCACAATCAATGTTGGACAGAATATTTTTCTGCCTCCACAAGAAAAGTTAGAGAGCCACTGCAATAAAACAATGTTTGTACAAGAAACTTGTAAATATAGACCATAAATGTTACAATTTAATGTGTATATATATATATTGCAAAGTGGTTCTTAAACGTTTCATGCCACAGCCCGTGTTAAATAACCTCTTAGCTCAACAAGACTAAAGTACAACAAATGCTACTGTCTTTGAAAATATATTAAAGTAAAACTAAATGAGGTAGCAGACTTTTTTTAAATCATAGAAATAATGCTCCATCTACACTAAGAAACCCAACAAATGTCAACCTTTAAGAGCTTCATTTTATCCTTAAAACACTGAGTGATTTCACTGAGTTTTTATGTATTTTTTACCAACAACTCAGTTCAGTCAGTGCAACAAAAACCCGTACAGGGGTTTGGCAGAAAGACGATAGTGACTGAGTGTAATTTGTCATCCGTTTATTTAAACTTCACACTGTCAGCTTAGTTTTCTGACAACACAACATTTATAAACCTCCTACTGTTCCATTGCAGCAGCAGGACAGAGATCGTTTTGTCTTCTTAGACTTTTATCACCCTTTTTATTTTGTTTTCATCCTTCAGTTTGGAACACACACCGTGAGTAAGCAGGAGCTGGACAACTTTTCAATCAGCATATCTGATGGTCTACATGCTGGACGCCCCGTCCAGATTTAACAGCGTCTGCCCACTCTGACCATCCTCTCTCCGACCCGTCTCTGATCTCTCTTTACCCTGATTTAAGGTGACACCTCCTCCAGATGGCAAAATGATTGTATTTATAACGGAGAGATAAAACTCTTCCCTCTCCACTTGTCACCAGTCGATCCAGGCAGCGAGTCGTTTGAAACGGCAGGATGCACTCGTGATCTGTCTGAGATGTGATTTGTGTAACACAAAAACAACTCGGAGTCCAAACAACATCTAAACGCTGGTTCTGCTGGAACTCGTTTAGACCCACAAAAACAGAGTGGTTACGCAACTCCCTGGTTCATTCAACAGCCACAACAGTAAAATGCAGAGATAAAAGGGCCCTTCCAGATTTTAAAAATAAAAAACATACTTTATGTTAAATAAGTTGTTTTACATGTTGGCATATTATTATCATTATTTCACTTTTACTGTTGTTGACATCAAGCACCCCTGCCATCAAAGGCACGCTCACTGCAGGAAGTTCAGTTCAAGCAGCACACGGACATTTGGCACTTTGCCACTGTCGCAACTCATCGGTTCTGCACCGCACCAGTTAAAGGCCTGCCCACTGCCGGTACCCACCCCCACTCAGCCCAGTTTATGGGACCATCTTGTTAGTGGTTCCCAGCAGACTGTTCCAGGTTAACTATTTTGATGCAAGTAAACAGCAGCTGTTGACTGGACGGCGGAGCTACGTCACTGGGCCCGACCATGGAAACTGTAAACTACATCCGAGCTTCCACTTCCTCCCTGATCTTGTTGCGTGTTGTTTTTACTCGTTTCTGGCGTGGAAGCTCCAAAAATAGTGTCGTGGACCACTGGACAATGTTCAGATTCACCATGAACTTACTGGATGGGCGGCTGTGGCTGAGTGGTTAGAGTAGTTGTCCTCCAATAGGAGAGTTGGGGGTTCAATTCCACCAGCAGTCACATGCCCAAGTGTCCCTGGGCAAGACACTGACCCCCTCATAGCCTCTGATGTGTGTCCCATCGGTGTATGAATGTGATAAAGCTCTGATTAGCCCTTGTATAGATCTAGTATAGAGCTGTATGGATGTAAATGAGGCACAGATTGTTGTAAAGAGCTTTGAGGATCTTGATCAGATAGAAAAGAGTTATACAAGTACAGTCCATTCACCATTTACAAGAGAAGGGCACATTTACAGAGAAATACCGGAGACGATGGCGCAGCAGGGCTACACCCGGACTTATAAGCAGTGCCGGGACAAGCTAAAGAAATTGAAGTCTGATTATAGGGTGATTACAAGGACCACAACGGGCGGAGCGGCTCCAACACAATGTCCTGTTACGCTCCCGCCCACAGAGCCACAGAGGCAAATCACCTACACCTGAGAAGAACCGATAGGACGGGAGCCAAGTGGAGTCACACTTATCAATGGCAAAGCGGCTCAAGTGTAATGTGTAATAACCTTGTGCTGCCCACAAACGTGCCTGCCTTTTAATCAGTTTGGTACGCTCAGGCCTGCCAAATGTTAATGATTTAGAAAATGGCAATCAGCTGACTGATCAATCAATTTACCTCTAGATTGGACTCAGTATGACACATTAAAGCACATAACGGCACACCTATAATAGCATTCTGATCCCCATTATAAGCAGATATGGATAAATACTGCATATAATCAAGACAAAATCAGTTTATTAAAATAAACAAGTAAAATGAATAGACTTCTATTTAAATTACATACTTCAGCTGGATAGAATGACCCCCCCACGCCCCCCGACACACACACACAGCTCCCTCAGTCCTGTCAGCATTCAGAGAAATTCACTGTAGCTTTCAAACATCAAGCCTGCAGTGTAAGACCATGTTTCTTTTTACTTCTTTCCTCTTCACAGATCACATCAGAAACATTAGATTAGACAGCTTTTGTGTTTGTGTAAAAGGAGGCAGATACGTGTCTGTGGCTTTTTAAATTGGGAGAGCTGGGAGAGAAATTGTTTTTTGATGGGAGGAAGGTAGGTGGCACAGCAGCAATAAGAAACAGCGGAGCAGCACAGCAGTGCACCAGCACCATCAAGTGTCTCCAAGAAGAACATCACACAGGGCCCAACAGCAGCCGCTCACGTACTGGATCAACATGAAGTTTGTCCACAACAAATCACAACATCGATGCACGGAAATTTATTTTTCCTACAAAATCAATGCACACAAGCTTTAGGAAAGAATGATGAAGATGCTCTGTTTTTTTTCTACTGAAGGAGAATTAAAACAAGAATAAAAATGGGATCAGAATCACGGGTTCTCTCTTGCTCTGTCTTGTGTGTGTGTGCGTTAAAAACCCTACCAGGTAAGAATCTGACAAATCGAGGCATGAAATGGAACTGCTGGCATCCAGAAGGCTCGTCGTCGGACTCGGGACCTGAAAGACAGAGCGCACGCTCAGTAACTAGCTTTTCACACAAGATTAAAGGTTCAATTTGTGCTCGAAATAATAACCACAGTTACACTGGGCTTCAGTAGTTCATTATTATTCAGTCTTTTCAGGAGATGTGGAATGCAAAAATATATATACACTTCCTTTATGTGACTGCAAATAAGATGTTTAAATTTGATATGTTCCATTTATAAGGGATAAATTCAACATATATGTGCATAAATATAAATCTGCCTCTAGAAAGAAGCCTGGGATGCTTTCTGCAAACATTTCAACTCCCTTTTTACCCCATTTTAAAAAATATACAACATAATAAACTCTATAAGGTGGTTCTGGATGGATTCTTCTTTATTGAAATGTTTTGTCTTTTATCCAAAAGAGTCAGTTTGAGGAGCTGCAACAAACTCATGCAGACTCTGCAGATAAAAAAAAGAGTTGTTGACGCTCATTAGGCTGGAAAAGGTTACAAAACCATCTGTAGAGTTTGGACTCCACAATCCAGTCAGACAGACTGTGTACAAATGGAAGAAATTCAAGACCAATGTTACCCTCCCCAGGAGTGGTGGACCAACAGAGAGCACTACAAGAGCACGGCGTGGAAGAGTCGAGGAGGTCACAAAGGAGCCCACGCTAATCCGACTTTGCTTGCCAAAGTTATTTTTAAAAATGGCATTCAGTAAAAAACTGAATCAACAAATCTCTGTGTTGGTTTTGTTTCATGGTAAGCGTCTATAAATCAAAAGCCTTCTGTTCATGGTCAATTGTTGATATTCTGACTAGAGCACGACTGATATAGCAGTGGGCCGATACAGGTGTTTGGGGACATATTGGTACTGGTGTAAATTGCCCCATTACAAGCTGATGAACACTTCTAAATTTAACCCCCAAAATGCTGGAAACAAACTGTGTCCTTACTTGCAAACGGCGTAATTGTACAATGATCCAGTACAGGGCGCACATGGACTACTTTCAAGTCATGGCCGTGCTGTAGAGCTGTCATTTCTAACCCGAACCCACAGCCAGGCTCCGCCCGACCCGGATTCGGACCAGGCCGGACCATAATAATGTGCTTAATGTGTGGGCCGGGTCGGTGTCAGGCTTTTTATTGAATCAGGAACGTGCGCGGCCGACGATCCATTATATGCAAACATTGCTTGCCATATTGCACCTGCTGCACGCGGCCATTTGGCTGCACGCTGACCAGCTGGTTGAAAGGGGTAAAAAGTTCAGTTAAGCTTCAGATGGACTACTGCCAGTGATCCATCAGCCCAAATGGACGTTCATTCAGCCGCTGCACTCACAGGACGCGCGCGGCCGACGACCCAAACAGGTGAGATCACAAAATGTTCGACATGTCAGAGCAGGATGCAAGCAGAAGCAGGGGAAGCATTTAATGCGCTTTGATGGCTCCTCAGCTCTGATCTCCTGCCCCCTCAGCCACACGCATCCGCCAACCGTTAATAATAGTAGGTGGTATAAGCAGTCAAAGCTTAATAAAAAATGTTGGGGTGGGGTTCTGACCTGTAATTACTGTTAATACGTAGAATCAGGTGGGGTTCAGAGACGATGGCTGCGGGATGGGCCGGTTCGGATTATTTGGACCCAAGTGCAACTCTACCATGCTGCACACTTGAGAAGCAGGGAGTAATACTAGGTAGCATATTTTGCTGAACAGAGCATGTTAAGTTTATTGCAACTGATCTGTAAAATGAACAAAAAAAAAAAACAATAATAAATTCTCTTCAATCCTCCAACCCGCTTGTCATTAGCCATGTGCCTCTCAAATTAGCAAGCTAACGTTTAGATAACCTAGCATAGTATTGCCTTGTAAAACTTTATGCAGAACAATAAATGTAATATGGACGTAATATATATGTATTTGTGTTAGTAACATTATCTTTGTCATCCTCAATGAAATGCATTGTTTGTCTGAAATCTTTATTTACGTGCAAAGAAAAAAAAAACTGCTGCGGTCAAAATTAATTAGACCTTCACCGTACGTGACAGACTGTTTAAACAATGAACAGGGAGTTTCTTTGTTCGTATTCTTATCTTTGTAACAAGTGTTAAAACAGATTGAAAAGTAGCCGTTTGCTTAGATTCTTGGGGGTGAACAAAGCTAAAAAAAAATTCAACTATTATATCAGTTATCGGCATTAGCCTTCCCCTCCCAATATCGATACTGATGTTAGACAAAATTTCCATATCAGCCCGGCTCTAATTCTGACATGTCTTTCAACTCATTTATCCCCGACGCTAATATAACTTGTAAAAACCACTTGCTCCTTAAAGCCTGGACATTTTGTTGAACTCTAATATGAATTGTGTCTAAATGCTGCTGGTAAATTACTTGTATAAAGTGAGCCCGTGACAAAAGCACTGTACCTTTCAGGTTCCAGTCATACAGCTCAAGAATATCCTGGAACAAGTAGGAGGAGAACAGCTCCAGCCCTCGGACACAGTAGTTCTGGACTCGAGAGGAAAAAACAGACAAATGTTGGCAAACAGAACCCAAAGCTTTATAAAGCAACACTGACTGCTTTAAAGTAGATGGAAGCGATAAGTAAATCCAGCTTTCTGACTTCATCACATAAGCCGTTTTATTGATACAAGCAACTTTTGTAGGTCGAACTGGAGCTCTTTTCCTTCTTCTAAAAGGATTAGCACCTTGGCTCACCCAAACACTGAGGTGTGAGAGTTACATGCGGCTCAGCTGTGCTCAGACTCAGCCGTTTGAGATAAAAACAAAGGGGGTGAGAAAGAGCTGCGAGATAAAGTGGTGTTTGACTGACCTCTGGTGTCATCTCCTCTATGAAGTGAATGGTGTAATCTATGTTGAAGCGGATCACTCGGCACAATGGAATCTGTGATGATGAAAGAGAAAAAGTAGAAGAAAAGGACAGACCGCCTCATTACGACTGATTCTGAGAGGTTACGGCTTTTCAAGGAAACTCATTAAAACCTCGTATTTTTAAGGGCACAAACTATATGCATGTATGGAAACGCAATGCAAAAATGTGCAAAAACATGCAAAACCCCTGGTAACTTCACAAACCCACACGCCTACGGAGCACGCGCCTCCACACACGTTAAAGGAAATTAGGCACCTCAAATCTTGCTAAAAGGATAAGCCAGCTCTTGTGTTTAATCTGCACGGTTACACGGTCTTTGTTGTCAGAGCACAGGGGCTCATTTTAGGAGATTAACCTGGAGCCACGTTTACTCTTGCCCATGCTGGCGTCTGACTAGCATGGAGCTAATACCACCACTTTCTCAGTTTCATATCTCGCCACTATCAGGAAGCATTTGCCCCAGCTCTTAACAAGGGTCGCCCCAAATCATCCAGTTCAAATCATGTCTGATCCTCTGAGCCCTTTTTGAGCTATTGATCACAATATTCAAACACATCGTAGTAAAAAATACTGGCAGAGGCATCTTTACACAGACACACTTTGGGCACATTTTCTAAAAACAGTCTGGTGAACCCCCGTCGATTTTTCGCCCTCTTTAAAGCTCCTCCCTGGGATAAGAGTTGGGCTCAGCTCAAATGGCTCCAGAAAGAGATGTTTCTTTTAGATCACAACCTCTTTAATGGCTGACAGCCACTGATGGGCCTTCAAACGGCTGGAAGAAGACTCGGTGACAAGGTCAGCCCAGTGAGAGAGGAGCACTTTGTCCCGGCTACAAAGAAGTCAACCTGAAGCCAAAAGCTGATTTGAAGTTATGTTTCTGGAAAGTGGAGCTAAAGAAGAGGTGGATTTTTTACTCAAACCTTGACAGAAATGATTTATAAAAAAAAGAAATCTGCCATATAAGACATGTAGGAGGAGGATTGTAGCCTGTAATGGTCAGAGAAAACCTGACTGGGCAGCAGCTGGAGTCTGTTTGAAGAGAATAGAACAGAGAAGAGAAAGGATCGATGGAATATCTGATCTACGATGCATGGCTGAACCAATAAAAAGATCAGCGATTAAATAACTGATCATTAAGCTAATTAATAAGGACAGCTTTTTGCCTTTGCACGACAAAAACCCGAGCATACTAAGATAATACAAAGCCAGGCAAAACTGAGAGCAGAACTGTCGTTTCATGTTGTTTTATGTGACAAAAGCAAATTCACTTCCTATGACAGGGGTGCATTTTCAGTACAATACTGGCAAACCTCAAAGAAAAGTATTTTACTCCATTTTTTAAAAAGAACAGTAAGTTACCAGTGAAAGTGGGGTCTTAAATTGATCATTTAATGGCTGCAAACGGAAAGATAAAAAAAGTACAACTTTACCTGTTATCAGTTTAATTTGAACCTTTTAGGGTCTTGGTTAGATAAAAAATGTACTTTCAGAAAGAAAAGATGGATATATTCACACTTAGCACAACATCATGGCAAGAATAGGGGCTAAATGACAGTTTCTGTTGTGTTTATTTCTCATCATTTTAAGTATAGTAAACTGTAAGGTACAAATTTCAAAGAGTTACATTAAGTGAAAAGTATTTGGTCACACTTGACCATCAGGGACTGTGTTGAGTTGGTCACCTTCCTGCAGCGATAACAGCTTCCACTTTTCGTAGAAGACTTCTACAAGAATGTTTCTGTAGCAATCTATATCCATTCATTCTGTGGAGCACTTATGAGGTCAGTCAGAGTAGATCTGTCTCGTGATCCCCATTCCAGTTCATTCCACAGGTGCTTGATGGAGTTGAGGTCAGAGCTGTTCTTCCACACCAAACTCAAAGCATGTATTTATAGTTCTTGCTGTGTGCACCGAGGTACAGCCATGTAGGAATAGAAGAGTATTAGTAAAGTGTTGCCACAAAAATGAAAGCATGAAGTCTTCAAAACGTCTCGTCAAGAGGTACACCGATGTCCTCCATGGCTGAGGGATTTAAATAGTGAATGTTTGTAGTTTTTGAGATGAGTGTTCAGTGTTTCCCCTAGATCACTTGCCTTGGCAGGGCGCTCATCTCTTCCAGAGGTTTTGGCAAAGGGGGGCATGTCTGTGGTGTGCTACTTTTGTGCCGGCAGTTGTCGACAGGGGGAATAGTGCTACGTGGTCAGTGTTGGCAGTTGTCAACGGGGGTAAGAGGAGTTGTGGGTGAGGGACATTTGGATAGGCAGGGCGCTCGGTTCTGTTGACAGGGCGGGGCGCCCTCCTTGTACAACAGTAGGGGAAACACTAGTGTTTTTCTGGAATGGATTTTGAGGAGAGCCCAATTTTTGATAGGGATCTTTCTTACACGAAGATGTAGGCACACACCAAAACAGAAGTCGGTACCTCACTTATTTTTCAAGTTATCATGCTCGCAACATTCATGGATGGACAGACAGAGGGTATTTCCAATTCTCCCTTTTCAATAATCAGCAGATGACAAAAACGCCAAGCTGAGATAAACCAGTGTAAAGTGACAGATAAATATGGTAACTGAATGCAAACTTACGTTGGTGAGAGGTGTGTGGGAGAAAAGGGAGAAGCCTTCAAACAGGTACTCATGATCGTCATACTCAATCACCGTCGGCCTGTCCGTCTGCAAGAAAACACCAATTCAGGCTGTGAACATGTGAAACGTCTGAGCAGCTGGACGGTTATCAGAAGGAACATTTTAAAGCTCTGGACATAAACAACTTCATACCAGGAAGTTGGTGGGAGGCGACACAGTGATTCTGTAGTGGAACAGTTTTCCTGCATTGTTGCTCATTAGACGACACGACCTCACAGGCTGGAAAAGAAAAACACTTCAAGTCACCCATCAGTCAGTGGATTTGATTAGAGAAAGTTCAAAGGCAGAACAAATGTAAATTATTTGCTCATAAATCATAACTTAGCAGCTCAAATACAAATCAAGCTTACAAAATCAAACAATTAGCCAACATGTTTAAGGCTATTCAAACAAATTGTGAACCAATCAACAAATGTTTTCCAATCTTGTTTGAATTTTTGAGATGGTTAAAGTGTTGCAAAATGTAACACAAAATTACCTCTGGACAAAACACTTCCTGTATGGCTGAGGATTCATTAGGAATCTGTCTACTTTTATTGATTTGTTTTGTTGGACAGAAAAGCCAAAAACCTATTGTGTTTCTTCTTCTTCTTCTTCTTCTTCTTCTTCTTTTGGCTTGTCCCTCTTCAGAAGTCTCCACAGCGAGTCATCCTCCTCCATCTCACTCTGTCCTCCGTGTCCTCTGTCCTCACTCCGACTACCTCCATGTCCTCTCTAACTGCATCCATATATCTCCTCTTTGTCTTTCTCCTGGCAGCTGCATTTCTAATATCCTTCTACCAATATACCCACTGTCCCTCCTCTGGACATGTCCAAACCACTGTCCCTCCTCTGGACATGTCCAAACCATCTCAGTGTGTCCTCTCTAACTGCATCAATATATCTCCTCTTTGTCTTTCTCCTGGCAGCTGCATTTCTAACGTCCTTCTACCAATATACCCACTGTCCCTCCTCTGGACATGTCCAAACCACTGTCCCTCCTCTGGACATGTCCAAACCATCTCAGTGTGTCCTCTCTAACTTTATCTCCCAGTTGTTCAACCTGTGCTGTACCTCTGATGATCTCATTCCTGCCACTTCCAGTTCTGTCTCCTGTCTTTTTGTCCATGTCTCTGTCTCCAGACCAAACAACATAGCTGGTCTCACCACTGTCTTGTAAACGTTTCCTTTGACCTTCATTAGGTGAAGAGGTAACCAGATAAAAGATGCTGTTTAAAAGCTAAAGTTGGTCATAAAAATGCAATCAGTAAGTTACAAGGATAGGAATTTATGTTTAAAAGGTATAATAATATAATTTATTTTTATAGAGTCTCGTTTATTGTGTCTTTAGTGGATGAGTATGGAAATACACTTAATGGAGTGAAATAATGCCCTTGGCCCTGTGAGGCACAGCCTGAAGGTTATGAACGGGTGATTTATTCACAGCGTGTCCCACCTCCTCTCCTGGGTAGATGCTGTGGCGGATCCCTGTACGTCTGGCCTTGGCACTGCACTTACACAGAGGACCATCATTCATCTGGACAGAAAGAAAATACGTGAATCGGACAGCGCTGCCTTACCTGCCGTGTATAACACAAAGATTGTGAAACATTTTACATGTCTGAGCTGCAGGCTGCTGACCTTTATTTCTCTCCTGCACTTTGAAGCTCAGAGTTTTTGAAGTTCAAGTTGTAACTTTGCCGGATATATTTTTATATAACCAACACTCAGTGACTCCTAATTCACTTTACAAATTACTTGGGTGTTTTTAATTAAGTATTCTCAGGGGCTAGGAACCTTTAGATTTATGTTGCTCTGATTTATTTTTCCTCCAATTCCTACATGTGTCCAGTTTCACTACTTTTTGTCTAAACAGGTCTCACTTGTAAATGAGTCTTTGAGGTTCAATGTGATTTATCTGTCTAAATAAAGATTGAATGAACAAATGATTTTTTATACTTTTCCCATAAGGACCAGGAACTACAGACGGTATCAGGGACATGGTTTATTCTCCACATCTGCACTGGTTAAAGTAGACGTGGGAATCCAGGTAGTTCCAAAGCAGAAGGTCGTCTGATTTTGTTCAAATAAAGTTGTTTTTTCAAAAAACTGTCAAAAATAAATTAGCAACCTTTGTGGGAATCATTAATCATCTTGCATGCCAAAGCTTGAACCTAAGACTTTGTTAAAATATGTTATATAATATAACATATACAATATAACAATATAATATTGTTCATATTTGCTGACTTGGTTAACAAATGTCTGTATGTAAAGTGTCTTTAAAAAGTACTCAAACCACTTGAACTTTTATACATTTTGTCACATTACTTGATTCACCAGGCGTTTAAATTCAACTTTTTCTCTGACCAGACTGGTGAGTTCCTTGGTCTTCATGATTTTGTTGGTTCTGTATGTTTAGTAGGGCATCACAAAACAGATTAAATTATACACAGGTGGTCTCTGTGGACTTTAGTTAGAGGTCTCAGGACCCTCGTGTTGGTCTCTATGGAAAATGTGTCCAAACTTTGACACGCCGGCTAAAACGGTCACATTGAAAGTACATTCGAGTCACAAAACATCCCATTTTTAATTTAAAAACTATTTGTTTTAGGGATTTCTCTCTCCAATCTCCAAACTTTCAACAACAATGTAAACAATATTTGAGTGAAAGGACAAAAGTTTACGAATGTTGGGGAAAAAGAAAAAAGATATTTGCCATTTATATTAATAAAAAGTATTTCAAATCCTCTGATTTGTTGAGTCTTGTTTCGTGTGCTTGGAAAGTACATTATTGAGAACAAAGGGGTAATCTGCAGTGTTTCCCCTGGATAACTTGCCATGGCGGGGAGCTCATCTCGTCCATGATTTTTGTCCGGGGGGGGGACGGATGGAGATACGTCCTAAGCTGCGCAGTGCGATGTTTAAACCAACAGAGTGGGGGTGGGGACACAGAGACAGCCGCGCTGTTTGCACCGACAGTTTTACAGTTTTAGAGCAGGGTGTGTGAGAGGAGAGAGACAGAGACACATCTCAGCCGCACGCTGTCTGAACAGGCAGGTTTGTTTTTGGGTGGGGGGGTGGGGGGGTGGAGGAGAGACAATGTGACCGATCCACAACTGGGCAGATCTATTCACTCTAACTCTATGCTTTGTGCTCTGAGTGACGTCACGCGCTACCGTACTGACTGAGCAAATTAAAGTTGTGCTGTGTTTACGTTTGACCGAGCTTGTGAAGCTCTCGGTGTGTTTAAGCTGTTATGATGCAGAGTTTTCAATAAATTTGTTATTCAGTACATTCACGTCTGCGTTTAATAAAACAAATGTTTTAAGTTAATTTAGCACTGGGTGTGTAAGCTCAAACATCCAGGTAGACAACAAAAATGGCTAAATCATGTCATCTGGAAGAATTGGGTCCAGATGACATGAGTCAGCCATTTTTGTTAATTCAGTACTGGGTTTTTTTCTGTATAGGATCGGTATTGAATTGGTATCTGCCGATACTAAACTGCAGATATCGGTATCGGATTAGAAGTGAAAAAAGTGGATCGGTGCATCCCTAATATAAACTGAATTGAATAGCTTTAATTATATGTAAAAATACTTCTAATGTTGTAGCATGAGACAATGAGAATAAGTTCAAGGAGTATGAATATATTTTACAGCTCTATGTGCTGGTGATGACCGTCGGCTACTAACAAACAAATTGTGGTTCAATGTCTGTAAAACTGACTGACTTGTAGCCACGTCGTGTTTTCTACGGTTCTCCTTTTGAGCTGATTCGAAAAGTTAAGTTCTTTGTTCTAAGTTTTATTAAAATCCATTCAGTGGGTCATGAGATATTTAGCTAACAGACATACACACACACAGGCGCTTGGAGTTGAGAAGGTAAAAAGGTCATTTTTGAGACAGTGACTCAGCTTGTGTGTTAAACTGGACTTAAGCAACACATCAAATTCCATATGAATGTTTCCAAAAAGCGTACCGTAATTTCCAGCATACAAGCCGCTACTTTTTCACACACTGAGCACCGCGACTTATACAATGCTGCAGGTAATCTATGGATTTTTACAGGTTAACAAGCTTCATGCCGCCAAAACATTTGGCCTCGTCACACCCCGGCGCTCACATAGCTGCCCAAAACACGTCTCGTGATCACACGAAACACGTGATCCCTGGGGGCACAATGAAGTATTTGCAGCCACTCGACATCAGAGTGAATCGTGCATTTAAAGTGGCACTCCCGAGCTCAGTGGGAGGCTTGGATGATTAGTGGCGAGAAATTGTTTACTAAAACTGGCGAAGAGCAAGTTTTGATCCCGACACCGTGGAGCAGTGTCAAAAAATCCACTACCACCAACGGGTATCGAAAGGCTGGACTGCTGCGTGACGAAGAGGACCGCACAAGCTGAAGTGCGAATTTGCCTCGAGACGAAGGTGATGTTGAGAGAGACAACAAAGGATACTGAGGACGTGTGTGAAGAAGTAATTCTGAGACTGTTCGATTCTGACACTGAAGAAGACGACTTTAGTGGTTTTAGTGCGCAGGAGGAAGATGAAGATAGAGATCGTTGACTTTTCCTGGTAGGCTGCTGTTTTTTATTTGTTATTTTTTAACCTGTTGTGTTATAGACCCTGTTCAGAAAAAAATATATATTTACTGTACATATTTGTGTATATACGACGGAGCTTTAGAGAACGATTAAAAAATATATTACATTGCCACGCTAAGAAAAAAAAATTAAGACATAAAATTATGAGAATAAAGTCGTGGAATTACGATAATAAAGTCGTATGAGATTTTTTTTGTTTCAACTGCTGTCGTTAATTTTTTTTTTCCACGAGTCGAATCCATGACACGACCTGTCAATCAATCGAGTAGGCGTGTCAGCAAATGACCAATACGAAGCTAAATGCTCCTATAAGTGACTCGCTGGGTCTCTTCAGCCTCTTTCTGGCATATTTATTGAAGACTTCTAACAGCGCTGCACACACAGTTTCATATTTATTGAAGACCTCTAACAGCGCTGCACAAACACAGTTTCATATTTATTGAAGACCTCTAACAGCGCCCCCTCCCTGGTCTGCCACCTTACCGTGGTGGAGGGGTTTGAGTGTCCCAATGATCCTAGGAGCTATGCTGTCAGGGGCTTTATGCCCCTATAGGGTCACCCATGGCAGACAGGTCCTAGGTGAGGGACCAGACAAAGTGCAGCCCAAAGACCCGATGATGAGACAAATAAATGGACCTAGTGTTCCCTTGCCCGGACATGGGCCACCGGGGCCCCACTCTGGAGCCAGGCCTGGAGGTGGGGCACGCGGGCGAGCGCCTGGTGGCTGGGCTTTTACCCATGGAGCTCGGCCGGGCACAGCCCGAAGAGGAGACGTGGGTCACCCTTCCCATGGGCTCACCACCTGTGGGAGGGGCCAAAGGGGTCGGGTGCAATGTGGGATGGGTGGTGGCCGAGGGCGGGGACCCTGGCGGTCTGATCCTCGGCTACAGAAGCTGGCTATTGGGACGTGGAATGTCACCTCACTGGTGGGGAAGGAGCCTGAGCTGGTGTGTGAGGCTGAGAGGTTCCGGCTAGAAATAGTCGGACTCACCTCTACGCATGGCTCGGGCTCTAGAACCAGTTTCCTTGAGAGGGGCTGGACACTCTTCCACTCTGGAGTTGCCCCTGGTGAGAGGCGCCGAGCAGCCGTGGGCGTACTTATTGCCCCCCAACTTGGTGCCTGTGTGTTGGGGTTCACCCCGGTGAATGAGAGGGTAGCCTCCCTCCGCCTACGTGTGGGGGGACGGGTTCTGACTGTCGTTTGTGCTTATGCACCAAATGGCAGTTCAGATTATCCACCCTTTCTGGAGTCCTTGGAGGGGGTACTGGAAAGTGCACCTCCTGGGGACTCCCTTGGTTCTGCTGGGAGACTTCAATGCTCATGTGGGCAATGACAGTGAGACCTGGAGGGGTGTGGTTGGGAGGAACGGCCCCCCTGATCTGAACCAGAGTGGTGTTCTGTTGTTGGACTTCTGTGCTCGTCATGGATTGTCAATAATGAACACCTTGTTCAAGAATAAGGGTGTCCATATGTGCTCTTGGCACCAGGACACCCTAGGCCGCAGTTTGATGATCGACTTTGTCATCGTCTCATCTGATCTGCGGCCACATGTCTTGGACACTCGTGTGAAGAGAGGGGCGGAGCTGTCAACTGATCACTACCTGGTGGTGAGTTGGCTCCGATGGTGGGGGAGGATGCCGGTCAGACCTGGCAGACCCAAACATATTGTGAGGGTTTGCTGGGAACGTCTGGCAGAGACTCCTGTGAGACGGAGTTTCAACTCCCACCTCTGGGAGAACTTTGAACATGTTCCGAGGGAGGTGGGGAACATTGAGTCTGAGTGGACCATGTTTCGTGCCTCTATTGTCGAGGCGGCTTACCAGAGCTGTGGCCGCAAGGTTGTCGGTGCCTGTCGCAGCGGCAACCCTCGAACCCGATGGTGGACACCATCGGTGAGGGATGCTGTCAGGCTGAAGAAAGAGTCCTATTGGGCCTTTTTGGCCTGTGGGACCCCGGAAGCAGCTGATGGGTACTGGCAGTCCAAGCGACATGCGGCTCGGGTGTTTGCTGAGGCAAAAACTCGGGCATGGGAGGAGTTCGGAGAGGCCATGGAGAACGACTTCCGCACGGCTTTGAGGCGATTCTGGTCCACCATCCGGCGTCTCAGGGGGGGAAAGCGGTACGCCACCAACACTGTTTATAGTGGGAGTGGTGTGCTGCTGACCTCAACTCGGGATGTTGTGGGTCGGTGGGCGGAAAACTTTGAAGACCTCCTCAATCCCACCGGCATGTCTTCCACTGAGGAAGCGGAACATGGGGACTCTGGGTCGGGCCCTCCAATCTCTGGTGCTGAGGTCACCGAGGTGGTTAAAAAGCTCCTCGGTGGCAGGGCCCCAGGGGTGGATGAGATTCGCCCGGAGTTCCTTAAGGCTCTGGATGTTGTAGGGTTGTGTTGGCTTACGCGACTCTGCAATATTGCGTGGACATCGGGGGAAGTCCCCCTGGATTGGCAGACCGGGGTGGTGGTCCCTTATTCAAAAAGGGGGGCCATAGAGTGTGTTCCAACTACAGGGGAATCACGCTCTTAAGCCTCCCTGGTAAGGTCTATTCGGGGGTTCTGGAGAGGAGGGTCCGTCGGATAGACGAACCTCGGATTCAGGAGGAGCAGTGTGGTTTTCGTCCTGGCCGTGGAACACTAGACCAGCTCTACACTCTCAGCAGGGTCCTAGAGGGTGCGTGGGAGTTTGCCCAACCAGTCTACATGTGCTTTGTGGACTTTGAGAAGGCGTTCGACCGCGTCCCTCGAGGGGCCCTGTGGGGGGTACTCTGGGAGTATGGGGTACCGGGCCCTTTGATACGGGCTGTTAGGTCCCTGTATGACCGGTGTCAGAGCCTGGTCCGCATCGCCGGCAGTAAGTCGGGCTTGTTCCCGGTGAGAGTTGGACTCCGCCAAGGTTGCCCTTTGTTACCGATTCTGTTCATAACTTTTATGGACAGAATTCCTAGGCGCAGCCAAGGTGTTGAGGGGATCCGTTTTGGTGGCCTTAGGATTGCGTCTCTGCTTTTTGCAGATGATGTAGTCTTATTGGCTTCATCAGATCGTGATCTACAGCTTTCGCTGGTTTCGCGGTTCGCAGCCGAATGCGATGCGGCCAGGAAGAAGATCAGTTCCTCCAAATCCGAGGCCATGGTCTTGAGCCGGAAAAGGGTAGAGTGCCCTCTCCAGGTCAGGGAGGATGTCCTACCCCAAGTGGAGGAGTTCAAGTATCTTGGGGTCTTGTTCACGAATGAGGGAAAAATGGAGCGTGAGATCGATAGGCGGATAGGTGCAGCGTCTGCAGTGAAGCGGGCGCTGTACAGGTCTGTCGTGGTGAAGAGAGAGCTGAGTCAAAAGGCGAAGCTCTCAATTTACCGATCGATCTACGTTCCTACCCTCAACTATGGTCACGAGCTTTGGGTTGTGACCGAAAGAATGAGATCTCGGATACAAGCGGCCGAAATTAGTTTTCTCCGCAGGGTGTCTGGGCTCTCCCTTAGAGACAGGGTGAGAAGCTCGATCATCCGGGAGGGACTCAGAGTAGAGCCGCTGCTTCTCCATGTTGAGAGGAGCCAGTTGAGGTGGCTTGGGCATCTGTTTAGGATGCCTTCTGGACGCCTCCCTGGTGAGGTGTTCCGGACAAGTCCCACCGGAAGGAGGCCCAGAGGAAGACCCAGGACACGCTGGAGGGACTATGTTTCTCGGCTGGCCTGGGAACGCCTCGGGATTCCCCCGGAAGAGCTGGCCCAAGTGGCTGGGGAGAGGGAAGTCTGGGCCTCCCTACTTAGGCTGCTACCCCCGCGACCCGACCCCGGATAAGCGGAAGAAAATGGATGGATGGATGAAATGGACAACGAGGAGACCCGCAACTTGTGCACCAGTGCACCATATATTTGTACTTTTTTTTTTTTTTAAGATAGTGGGTGCAGCTTCTATTCAGGTGCGCTCAATAGTCTGGAAATTACAGTATTATGTGGGGGAGTGGTGGCGCAGAGGTTAGAAGATGGGCCTTTGATCGGAAAGTCGCAGGTTCAACTCCTGGTACTGTCAACATCAAAATGTGGGTGGAAAAGGTGGAACACCCACACCTCCCTCCACCCTCATTCACCCCACTCTGGGCCCCTGAGCAAGGCCCCTAACCCCCACCATCTGCTCCTAAACAGGTCTCTCTTGAAAATGAGTTGTCGTGGCTCAATGAGACTACCTGGGTAAATAAAGGGTTAAAAAAATAAAAAAGTGAAGGAACAAGAAATTCATCTTTTAATGATTGTACACAACAGAAAAGTCTGTAAGAGCTTTGGGAACGTTTCTCGTGTTTTGTTGCTCTGTAAGATGCGTCTAACAGCAAATTGGAATAAAAGCGTGTTTGTGTTTGACGGGACCGACCTGTCCCGGGTCGTTGTACCACAGCTCCTCGTGCAGCCGGTCAGGATGAGCTTTCTTCCTCTTGATCTCAGCGATGACATCAAAAACCTCGGAGTCGGAGTCAGAGCTGCTGGAGCAGCTGCTTCCCTCCTCGTCTGACTCGCAGTCTGACTCGCTGCTGCTGTCGTCTGCAAAGGGACGTCATCGACTTTAATCGTCAGAACTTTAAAGAGCGTCTAAACGCAGCTGGTCCACAGGTTAAGCTGCTCTGATCAGTTCGCCCTTTACCACTTTCCACAAAACTAAAGCTTCTAACCACATGGGCATGTGCTCTCCTTTAAATATACCTTTTTTATTTGTTACACAATTAACTTTTTAAGCAAATAAAAAAAGTTAGGAGTTTGAACATCCTTGTTTATTAGCATTTCTATTCTCCAACGTGCACATGTGAGATTAAAAGAGGAGCACAGCTGCCAGAGTCGCCCCTCGTTTTCTTCTTCTCTCACTCTTCGTTACAAAAAATAATTAAAGAAGGAACGAAAGCTCACACCAAATTGAGGATTATAATTACTATTCAGCCGAATGGTTTCTGGCTCTTAGCTAAAGCTGGGTCTTCAAGTCTAATCAACGTTTTAATTCAAGCACTTTACTGTGAAATCAGCGCCCAGAGCCACATATTTAGTAAATAAGATTTAGAAAGTGAGATTTATATTATTATGGAGCAGAAATACATCGTCAAAGTGACAAGCCTTCACACAACATGGTGAAGAAATCATCTTTGAAGCAGTCCTGGAAAAAACAGTTAATTTCATGCCTGTTAGGAATAAAGTGGAACAACAGTTTATTTTTCTAATTGCTCAAGTTTAACGCTTGCTAAAGTCCTGCAAATAAAAATAGACACAGGGACAGGTTCTATTTAAAGAAACAATTAAATTGTAAGACAAAGTGATGTTTACGCTACAGCTGTAATAAACAAGCTGTTGCTGGTTTTTTATATTTTCCTTCTAAGCTCAAACTTATAATTAAAGGTATTTAAAGTGGTCTTGACCTTTAGTTCTTCTGTGTTCATCTGTTTTGTTGTTAAACGTGGCCGACTCCTTCAGTGTACCTGAGGATTTTCAGAGAAATGTTCTGTTTGTTGAGTCACTCGGCCTCGACCTGGAAATCACTGAAAAGGCGACTGCAGGGATGAACCAGTGCTGCGTCGACACGTAACAGAAAGCAGCGAAACAACCAGTTTCAGCTCAGTCTGTCACAGTTTGTTCCCATTTTAACTCGATCTATAAAATAATCCCAATGAAAACGCAGTTCGACACATACAAGCTGCGTTTGCTGGAGGCTTAAAAAAGGCAGTTTTTAGTTTGCAACCAGCGAGCCGTGCACCACTGGTGTTTCCCATTCTTGCACCCACGTTGCTTTATATTTTATGTTTTGTGTGTTTTAATAAAACAACCTGCAGTCCAACAATATTTTGTATAGTTTCCCTTTTTGTTACTAATGTTAGACAAGTTGGCAAAACCTGAAAAATAATCTGAAACTGCAGCCTCCATGAACAGTTAACTGTTTATTGAATGACAAGTTTGATAACAGGCATGTTTTAAAGACATAAAAACCTGGATGACCCTAAACGTTCTGATTTTAAACTCAGACAGGACTGAGGTTTTGGGATTTGGACCTGAGCACCTTAGGAATTAATTTTTCATTCTTTCTCCCTCCTTAGATGCATTAATCTGTCCTCCAGCTCTAATGCTAAAAATCTCTGTGTTATTTTTGATCAGGACACGTCTTTTATCCCCCACATTAAAAACATTACTTGAACCTCCTTCTTCCACCTGCGTAATATCACTAACATTAGAAACATCTGATCTAAACATGATGCAGAAGAACTGGTCCATGCATTTGTCACGCTGGTACATTGTGTTTATTATGTTGGTGTCCAAAAAACTCTTAAATCTTCATTTAATCCAAAACGTTGCTGCCAGAGTCTTAACTGGAGTTACTGGGAGAGATCATCTCCAGTTTTAGCTTCTCTCCACTGGCTCCCAGTCAAATCCATAATAGATTTCAAAATCTTACTTCTAACCTACAAAGCTCTCAACAACCTAGCTCCATCTTATATTAGATAACTTATTGTTCCATATTTTCCTAACAGAGCACTTCGCTCTCAGACTGCAGGTTTACTTGTGGTTCCTAGAGTTTACAAAAACAGAACGGGAGGCAGATGTTTCAGTTCAGGCTCCTCTCTTGTGGAACCAACTTCCAGCTTCTGTCCTCGAGGCTGACGCTCTGTTTCAAAGACTAGGCTTAAAACTTTCCTTTTTGATAAATCCTATCGTTAGTGTTGGCTTGGGTTTCTTGACTTATCTCTGAGTTATGTTGCTATAGATTTAGGCAAACTGACAACATTTCCTCACTCTCTCTGCTGTTCATGAGTGTCTTTATTTCGGTCTTTAACGTGGTTTTCTTTGTCCTTCCTCCCATAGAAACCCCACCTGGACCCGCCACTCTTTGTTTCTCTGCTTCAGTCTCGTTCCGTCCGTCTCCAGCCAGTCCAGGCAGACGGCCGTCTTGTTCTGCTGGAGGTTTCTTCCTGTTAAAAGGATTGTTCTCCTATTTACCGTCACCAATGTGCTGCTCAGGATGGGAGACTGTCACAAAGTGAAGGTTCAACACAATCTGCTGCTTCCTTAGCTATGGTAACCTTTACCTTTTGGCATTTAATGATGTACCGGTAAGTGGATGTTTTTGTACAGTGCCCTGAGACAATGTTTGTTGGTAAATAAAGCTGGGATTAAGTAATGGGATTAAATAATTAATATAGTACTAAATAATTAATTAATACTGGGATTAAATTAACTAAAATGAACTGAATTGTAGTTTTCAGCCAAAAGTTATTTAAGAATCACCTTAATTTTATTTATTTTCTAGGCTGCTCCCTTCTTCAGGGGCGCCACAGCGAACAAGTCGCACATGGACTCGGAGATTATTTTTACACCAGACGCAACTTCAAAAGTTTGGGATCCTTCTTGTGTTGCGTCGTTACCCAGTTTGGTCCAAGCAGTTTTACTCCATTAAACATGATCCATCATCTTAAAGGCCAGGAACCAAACTACTTTAATTCAGTTCAGCATCTACCCGAGATATGACGGCGTTTAAGAGTCGTTAATAGTCCTTGATGGACATTAAGTGTCAGGCAAAAGCAGAATAGTTGAAAACTGCACTTGGATTTTACGTTTGACCCAGGATGAACTTAAAGCAGCGTTCACAACCGCTCCAGGTACAAGAAGAGCAGGAGTGAGTCAACCAGTGTGTCAGCAGGACATGCTTTATTGCTCCAGCCATGATGAGCCGAGTTGAACTGATCCGAGCCGTCACCATTTCCTGATGCGACCACAGAGCACCGAGCTACCGCAGCCCTCTGTGTGGAGCAGAGCGCTGATATCTAGGGCGCCCAGAGGAGCAGATGGTGGGGGTTAAGAGCCTTGCTCAAAGGCTCATAGTGGGGTGAATGAGAGAGGAGGCAGGTGAGGGTGTTTCATCTTTCCCGCTCACATTTTGATGTTGTCAGCACCGGGAGTTGAACCAACGATGTTCCGATCACTGACCCACCATCTCCAACCTCTGCTCTACCACTCCCTACCTTAAAAATACTTAAATACTACTTTATATGAAACTTAGCTTGTATTTAGTTTTTTTTTTTTTTTTAGTTTCCATTTATAAAAATGGAATCAAATTGTGTTTTTGTACCAGGTTGCCCCTTAAAACTGGTTCTTTGGTAAGTTTAGTTCATGCGTCAACAACTGATGACAACTAACAAGGAGCCTGTTTATGGGAGAATATTTCAGGTCTTAACGAAACATATTCCTGCATATAGTCAAGTACTGGAGTGAAAATTAGTGAAAACGCAGATTTCAAAGTAAAAAAAAAACTTTGTAAAACTTACAAAATATCAACAACAAAACTACAAAGACAAAATAAGGGGTTGCCGTCTACACTTTCAAGAGCAATAGGTCTTAGTAAAACTAAACTATAATCGTAAATAACTTTAAATCTGCAATTATACTGAACAACAATGCAGATCTCAAGTGAAGCTCAGACTTTAAAGGTACACAAGTGAGCAGCTGTGGTACACACCTGGATCCTCGTCCAGTTTGGTCTTGGGCGGCTCCCATTTGGGTCGCGCCTCCTTGGCTCGCTCCTGTCTCCCTCCGAGCTCCTCCTCAAATCGCCCATAAAGGTCACGTAGTTTACTGGTGCCCACGACTGTGGAGTCGCCCTGAAGCACACGGGTTTCTGTGAGGTGGTTCACTTTTTCATTTTCAACATTAAACAGACACAGACAGAAGGTTTTAGAGCTCAGCACCAAATCTAAACTGGTGAAAGTTTCTAATGATATTCTCATGGCCTCAGACAATGGACAGGTGTCTACACTGGTCCTGTTGGACCTCAGTGCTGCATTTGATACAGCTGATCACAATATTCTACTACAGAGACTTCAATAGGATGTTGGAATTACAGGAACAGCTCTACATCAGTTTAAATCATATCTGATAGATTCCAGTTTGTAAATGTAAAGAATCTTCATCATACACCAAACTTAGTCATGGAGTTCCTCAGGGCTCAGTGCTTGGACCAATACTCGTTACCTTGTATATGCTTCCATTAGGGTTAGCAGAAAAAATATTAACAATTTATAGTTAAGTTCATATTTTAACGATTTGAAGACACTTCTCTTAGCTTTAACTGGACCCAGTAAAAGCTAATAAACTTCTATAGTTAAGACAAAGTTGTATAAAAATGTAAAATATATATTCCAGCTGCTTCAGTCAGACCTTCACTGTGACTCTTCATCACTTTTGCAGGAATGTCTAAAGGAAACTTGAGAAAGTAAAATGTGTCCGGTGTCTGAGAGACAATTCGCCTTCACTTTAATCGACTTGTGAAACCATTAATCCGACACATCTCATGCCTGAAACGGACTTAATGTGATAATAAACACACAACTGTACAGGTCCATGTTAAAATGAAAACCATAATGACCGGCTGAGACATCAGGAGCTGAAAAAATGTGACAAAAATCATGAAATCTGATTATGAAAACTGTCAAAACCTGATTATGTCACTAAAACAGAAAACTGAATGCAGTCGGAGAAACATATTTAATTAGGATGCTTTCAGTCTCGATGAAACCCTAAACCCTTTGAAACTGGTTTGTTACAGGCACTGTCCCAGCAGAGCTGTGCTCGGTCAGTTTATGAGTGAAGTCCACAAAGAAAGTAGACGCACTTTATTTTAATAAAACTCAGATCAGGTGTCTGACCTGTCACAAACTGACCAAAAGGTCAAAGTTCAGAGAAAAGGGTTCAACCAGCTGAGAGACGTTTCAACGGTGCATTGTTAGCAAAATGACAGAACAGTAATTTAATTATTTAACAAAAACACAGCAGATTAAATCAGATAAGACAAAGAACATCCTGTTTGTGAGTGAAGGAAAAGGCACTACCACTTGGTCCATGGGGTCGTTGGAGAAGTAGCTCTCGGCGTGGGTGCAGCGGATCCAGGCAGGTTTCAGGAACTCCTCCTCGTCTCTCTCCTCGTCGCCCTTCTCTCTGTCCCGCTGCCGGTCACCGAACGCCTCCTCGTTGTCGCGGCTCCTGATGGAGGAGTGGCTGCGCGCCCTGCTCGGCCCCGAGGAGCCCTCCGACCTGCGCTCCTTCTCCTCCTCCCACCGACCTCGCTTCCTGTCTCTGCTTGACGAGCGGCTAGGGTCGAGGAAAAATTCAAAGAGCCTTTAACGTTAAGAGATCGATGGAAAGAGTCTGAAGGACAGAAAGAATGCGTTTGTTTTTGCTTCCAAGACATTTAAATATTTATCTTTAAGTATTTCCATTCAAGCCAAACGTGATTTTTTAAATTTTTTATTCAAAAGATCTAAAACATTGAAAAACATTCAGTCATACGTGGCGACTTTAAAAACTGGACTAAATCACATAAAAACTGTTTTTCATGGGTTAGAATCAAACGTAAGCGACTCACACACACAAAAGGGAAATGCCTTTCTGTAAAATTATGAGCTGCTGATTTAAGATTTAACATTTATAACAACCAATACATGATCATTTTTAAACAACTTGAAAATTGGACCATTTATACAAATTTACAAAACTTACATCTTCATTTAAAAAGATAATCCACATTGTTGAACACAGGAATCTGTACTAATAATATCCACGTGATAAAGAAAACTATCTGATTAATTAAGTACCGTATTTTTCAGACTATAAGGCGCACCTGATTATAAGGTGCATTAATAAAAACAAGTGTGCGTTAGATAAATCAAACTTTATTCAACTCGTTCACAATAACCACATAAAATCAGTTCACGGTCATTAACAACCAGAGTTAATACTTAAGGCTCACTGTCGATTTTTGAGAATTAAAGGATATTAAATGTGCCTTATAGTCCCAAAAATGCAATAATTATTAATTTAGCTTCCCACAGAGCTATGAAGCAGAAGCCAGAACAAGCAGCTAAAGTTTGGTTCTTCTTAATGTCTTTTAATCCTAAAGGTGGTTCATGTTCAGAAGAGTGACTCATTGATTCTGATGGTTTGAATTACCTCCAACAGATGCGAGTGCTCGATCGATCATTTATCAGTCAAACTGAGAAACTATCTGATCCTGGACAAACGTTATGTTGTTTGTTTGTCACATGCAGGTCAACAGTGCAATGAAATGTTGAGAACCGATTCGACCCGCTACGACAAAAAGAAAAAATAAACACATGCAATAAGAGTTCGAGTACAGAATAAAGTACCGAGAAGAGAAAGAGTAAATGCAATATTTACAAGGTCCAGTAGAAATATAGTAAACAATAATATTGTAGAACATGTTGTAAGTAGGATTAATTTTATAAATAAGTATTTGACAGTTATATAAGCTTTAAGATACATGATATAAAGCGCACATGTGCACCTCCCAAGAAACTGGTTTACTCCTGAACATGAGGACTGAAACCTGAAGCAGAAATAAACTGAACTGAAACAACGGCACGTCTCCACCTTTAAAGTGGAGTTCAAGTGTCACGTGATGCTCCTGCACGTCCCCCTGCTGCACCCGATTCATGGTCCGTGTTGACTTCACCATACGGTCCGATTACTTTACCTACTGACTTGGAAAAATACTGGCCACAAATCTCACCTGAAATATCTTGAAAGTGATGAAGCCGTCAGTTTATACACAGATGGAAAGTCAAGAATGGCTAAGAACTAGACACTGAAGTATTCTGAAGTGGGCAGGTGAGTCCTGGTCTACATGATGTTGACGATCTGTGGAAGGAGGAGGAACCCTTCAAACCTAAAACAGCTGGAGCAGTGTGCATGAGGAGTGCACGAAAACACCTGCAGACAGCTGCAGAGGCCTCAAAAAAGCTGTACAACAAAATATTAGGCAGGGGTCCAAAGTACTTTTGTCAAACTGCCGTCATTAGTTTAAAGAATGCACTGCCTCTGTGGTGGTGGATCCATGTGTGAAAATGATGTCTCGTGCTCCCAGAACCACTCTTTCACAATTTGAGCTCGATGAATCCTGCATCGTCATCCTGGAATGTGGCCGTGCCATCAGGGAAGAAAACATCCGTTGATGGAACGACCTGGTCCTTCAGTATATTCAGGTAGTCAGCTGACCTCAGTCTTTGAGCTCATACTGGTGCTGGACCTGGACCTGACCAACTGCAGCAACCCCACATCATAACACTGCCCCCACAGGCTTGTACAGTAGACACTGGTCATGATGGTGCACCACTTCACCTGCCTCTCTTCTGACCCTGATGCACCCATCACTCTGGAACAGGGTCCATCTGGACTCATCAGACCACACGACCTTCTTCCATTGCTCCAGAGTCCGATCTTTATGCTCTTTAGCAAATTGAAGCCTTTTTTTCCAGTTAGCCTCACTGGTTAGTGGTTTTCTTAAAGCTACACAGCTGTTCAGTCCCAGTTCCTTGAGTTCCTTCACATTGTGTGTGGAAATATTCTTACTTTCACTATTAACCACAGCCCTGAGTGCTGCTGGTGTTTTTCTTCCATTTGATTTCACCAAATGTTTAAATGATCACAGACCACGATCATTCAGGATTTTTTTCCAGCCACATTTCTTCCTGGAAGACGATGGGTCCCACTGTCCTTCCAGTTTTTAATAAAGTGTTGGACAGTTCTTAACCCAGTTTTAGTTTCTTCAATCTCCTGAGATGTTTCCTCTGCTTGGTGCCGATGATCTGACCCTTCTCGAACAGACTGACATCTTTTCCACGACCACGTCATGAGTCTTTCATCAGGGTTGTTTAAGAAATGAGAAGCGACTCGTTGCACCAGTTGGAGTTAAAGAACTTGTTGCAGCTGAAAGATGATCACCCGTGCAGTGATGATCCAACAGGAGGCTCGGACCTGTTTGTTTAATTAAATCCAGGTGGAGACTTGTTTTTTGGCCAGGCGGTGTCGTTCTGGTTAACCAAAATAACAAAACACTGATTTTCATTAGATTTTTTTTTTCCATAATGTTTTTTTTAATCTGTCAGCTTTAAATAATTTCAGTGATCTCTGTAGGTTTTTCTTTCTTTGCTGAAAGGGCACAACTTAGTCCCCATCTGCAATGTATGCATTTACCACTAGACGTAGAAGAATGCAACTACTTGTGCACAGCACAGAGAATGTGCACATGGTCCAAAACACTGCTGCTCGACTTGAACAAGAAACGGCATGAAACAAAGGTGCTGGCTTCACTTTGTTAGCTTTCTGTCTGAGAGACGTTCAGGTCTCATCATCTGTTCTTCAGGCTCTCTGGCTCCGTCTCATTCGCAGGAACTTTACTTTTGTTCCTGAAGAACAAAGACGTCAAAAATATATAAATGTAGAGGTTTCATATCTAAACTTAAAAGTAGAGGCAGGTTTCACTGATGCTGCTCCTGATTTTAAGAAAAATGGACCTTAGAAAAAGTAAAAGCTTTTAGAAAACCACTGCTCCCCCTAAAGAAAAACTTGACTTGATCGATATAAAGTTTTAGAGGTTTTCATTTTTCACTTTCCTGTTTTTATAACTAACTTTTAAGATTTTTGTTAAACTTTACTATTATTTATTTACTTATTTTGTTGCAGTCTTCTTGTTTCTAAAGTGCAATAAACCAACTAGAGACCTACGACGTGGAAACAAGATTCTTTTCATTAGGACACTGCAGGTAACGATGTTTGCCAGCAGGTGGCAGAGTTGCACAACTTTGACTGAAAATTGCTCGTACACAAATATCAAATGTGTATTTCATAAAGAAACCAAATAATTTTCAGTAACTTTAATCTAAGACTTTGTCTTCAGACTGAGCTGCAGGAACAATAAAGTGAGCTACAACAGAAGTCAGAGCATCCGAGCAAGGAAGCATCAAAGTATCTTTCTCAGGATCAGAACTCTTCTAGGAGCTGCCGGTGTAGAAGAAGGAAGTCGACATCAGCTCTTTGTGGAGGGTCCCAACACAAAATTAAAGGCCTAGCATAGCTTTAAAGAAATGCTCATGGCCTTTAATGCCTCAGTTTAAAGTTGCTCTGCTGTTGAGAATTGACAGTTTTAGATGTTGAAGCTTGAAAGTTTTCCACAACCTCTTGCAATACTTTTAAGAGCCCACGCTCAGAGTGCGTGTTGTGAACGACTCTCAGCTACTACCACACCAAACTGTAGCTCATTCTTTGCTAAACTGACTGAACTGTTTTAACGTTTTCAAAAATAAGTTGCCTGTGGCAGCCTTTAAACTATAATGGCTTCAAATGTTACTCAATTAGACGGTCAACAATAATCGTTTCCTGAAAGTTTAAATAAAATATGTCCAGTGGTTCACAAGATATTTTGCTAACATACAGTTTACTCCAAACAGTTCTTTGAAAAGTTTAAAAGTAAAGATATTGCACTATCGGTCAGACCTCAGAATAAGCATTAGGAATGACTCTCGGCTACTGCCACAGCAAACTGTAGCTCAAGATCTGTAAAACTGATGGAGCTGTAATCATTCAGTTGTCTGTGGCGGCCATCTTGATTCAAGTTGACTCAATCAGCTGTAGACGTACATCCAGTGATAACTGCCTTCATAGATTAGTCTTGTGGTTTGAGACATTTTGCTAACAGAATGAGCCACACACCTTTCCATCGTGGCGGTTGTGATGTGCTTAATGTGCTGAAGTGTTTTGCTCTTTAACGTCGCAGCTGCTTCATCAAATAACTAAAAGTTTGTGTTTACCTTCGAGGCCTCTTCCTGTGTCTTTCAGGCGACTGGGACCTCAGACGGTCTCTGTGACGGTGCCGCTCCCTGGAAACACACGGAGAGTTAGAGCATGTTTGAAACCAGAGGACGGCTGTTTTCAGTCAGTCCTGTACCTGCTGCGGTCCCTGCTCCGGTGTCTGGGAGGGGTCCGTCCTCTGTCGTGCTCAGATTTGTAGCGCCCCCCCTCACTTCTCCCCTGCCTGTCAGGACTTCTCCCACGCTCCTTCCTCTCTCCGGGAAACTCCGATTTGTGTCTGTCGCTGAAAGCGTGGCCCTTGTGCTTGTGGTCGTCGCGGTGATAGCCTTTTTCTGGAGATCGCCTGGTGCTCGTGGGCTTCTCGTACGAGTATGGCCCCCCATGTCTGACACTGTGGTCTGGCTGAAAGGGACCAGGGTTCTGGGTGAAGCTGGGGTTGAAGGTGGGAGGAGGAAATGGAGGGTGGGGAGGGCGAGGGTAGTTCAAGGAGTATGGAGGGTGGTATCTCAATGACTGAGAGGCGACGGGGGGAGGCATGGGTGGATGTGGTATTGGGGGTGGGGGTACAGGTGGCATCATGTAGGGTAGATAGGAATTCTGAGCAGAAGCCTGGGCTCCTGGAGTGGGACCAGTTGATGAACTTGGTAAAGGAGGAGGTGGGAAATTGGGTGGGGGGTCAGGAAAGCCTTGCTGGGTGAGGGGCTTTGGGAACGGCGGGCGCACCGGGCACTGGTTGGGGGCATTGTGCATCTGGGACGGTGGTGGAGGAGGGTACCGCATGAAGTCAGGATGTGGGGGCATGAAGCCACTGTTTCCATGGTAACCTAAACTGGCCTGGGGATCATAATGGTAGTGGGGAGCTGGAGGCTGGGGCGGCCTCAGGTTGGTGGGCGGGTAGCTTTGAGGGGAACCATGATGACCTGGGGGAACTCCTCCTCTTGAACCCCCTCGATCCTGATGGAAAGACATCGCTGTGGAGACAAACACATTCAGCATCTTTGTTCTTTCCAAACTTATAATAAAAAGGATCGATGAAGATCCAACACTGGTCATTTCAGACTTGAAGCTCCTTGTTTCAACTAGAACAACTGGAAACACTGGTTTCCAGTAACAAACCAAAGTCTCATCTTCAAAAAGTTTATATTAGAACTGAAATAAGGGCTGGAATGTCACAAACATATTCAATATATCCAGAGTTTTCATTGTGCAATATGTAAAATGACTACATCACAAATATTCAGTCTAAATCTAGATATTTTTATTGCACATAATTTAATACGTTACATTTTTTCCAAAGCTTTCACATTCATCCCAGAAGATGCACGTTTCAAGGGCACATAGAGACAGTTAGCCATGCTAACAATATGCAATGGTTAGTTTTTCACTGTGCAAACTAAGTGCTTTATTTTGGCTCCTGTGCTGAAGTCAAGAAGCATTTTAAACTTCATTTGGAGCAGTAGTTTTTATTATTTAACAACAGTCATATTAAACTTCTGGTAAACATACACTGTATGCTTTCTAAACCAAAGTGTCTCTGTGTGACAAGAGCTGCTCTTATTATCTGCTGTTTAACATTGTTCGGTGAAAAGGAGGAACCCAGACCCAGACCAGTGGTCGTTCCAGATGTTGAGGGAGTTTCAGAGAAACTGAGACGTTTATTTTCTAAACATAACGTCCCAGTGGCTTTTAAACCCCAAAATACATTAAAGACTGGTTCATCCCAAAGATCCAGTCCCCCAGCACAAACAGAGTAATATTGTGTATGTTGTTCAGTGTCAGGAGGGTGATCAGTCTTACATCGGGGAAACTAAACAGCCACTGTATCCTGATACATGCTCAATAATCCAGGTAGAAAAATCCAAAAAAGTTCAGTCTGGTCCTCTGGACATTCAAAATTTTTTTGAATGTCCAGAGGACCAGACTGAACTTTTTTGGATAAACAGCCACTGGCCAAAAGGATGGACCAGCACAGAAGATCAACA